GGGGTTGTATTGACTGGTTGAAAGGTTTGTAAATGAACGTTGTTTTATTAACCGTTGGTATTGGATTCAAGGGATTAATAGCAAAACATTGCATAGCATACATGTTCCATCTAACCTAGCACAATCTAATAAACAATTTTCCAACCACTTGTGCTTTTATTTTTATTTTTCTAATACAACCATTTGCACATTAGGTTACTGATTAAATCCGGAAAATTAATTTTGCTAATGGTCAACTAATGATTGCGTAGTCTGGAAGGAAAAAAAACAAGTCATTCGCAAATTAATGATTACGTATTTGTATAAATAAATTATAAAGTAGAGGATTAACAATCAGCCTCCGTAGCATAGTGGTAGTGCGTTCGCTTCGTAAGCGAAAGGTCGCGAGTTCGATCCTCGCCGGGGGCTTTCTATTTTACAGTTACATTTTTTTTTTTTCAAATGGGCTGGACTTTTGAGGATTCCCATAATTTGACCCAAATCCAGAATGTTTATCTGTAAACTTGTGCATAAGTTGGGCCTAACTGTGAAACTTTATAACCTTTTTTTTTAATTGTTGCCTTGTTGGTTCTGTTTGCAATCAAATATAAAGAAAATGGTGATCGAGGAGGTGGAGCAATGGAGAAATCTTGAGTTTCGACAGTCGAACCAGGTGGATTGTTATACCTTTAACAAAGAAGTGTGATTTTTGTATTAGAGGTTGTATAATGCGGTTAAGTGATACCTAAATATAAAAAATTTATTTTGTTTGTGAATGAGTCGAACAGCCTACATAATTCGGTTGTCGAATACAAGAACAATGAGCTAAGAATACAATAAATTTAGAATTCAGTTCTATCAAATGTAACAAAAAAATATTAGTTACACAAAAGAAAAGTTGACAAATATTTTGCTAGGATGGAGCTTAATTTGTTTTGAATCTCAGCCATTCAAATAATACCCAAATTGAAAAGGGAATGTTAAAAACCAATTTGAGAATTTGAGTAAGAGACCATTGATCAAATATGATCCTTGACCTAGGGCAGCGTGTAGAACGTTGAGGACCACAAAAAATTCCATAAATCTTAGTAGGAGTACCTATCAGCATGCCTGTACACACCTTCCATTTGCCTCCATCCTTATGTATTTCCAACAGTAAAAATAATAATTAGAAAAGAAGAAAAGTTTCTTGTGCATTCATGTCCATGCATGCTAGATATATGTACTCCTCGTTTGGTACATTATACGAACTGTTTTAGTCGAATAGACTAACCACGCTACTAATTATCTCTTTTTTATTTTGTATTCGTAACCCTAAACCCTATGCGCTAATGAAACCTTAAACACTATCCTATACACCAGCATCCGTTGAATCCTTGACTTCTGGACCTTTAGCTATATATCCAACACTCTATTTATCCAGTGCATGCCATACATGGGAGAATAGTAGAATTTTTACCCGTGCTCCACACTGTTGAGGGTAGAGGACCACAACTGGTACTGGGTGAGCCTTTTTGCATAATGGCACCTACATAATATAAAAGGGACAAGGATTGTCTGCTCTTCACTTCCGGTGCCCTTTCCGTGCCCTCTGTGTTTGTGTGGTCACGGTTAAGCAACGTCAATTATTATATATATATTTTATAGATATAATAAGACAAAAATGAATAGTAATATAAAATGTTGACGTGACTTAACCGTAACACACAAACAGGAAGGCACGAAAAGGACACCGGAAGTGAAGGGCAGACAATCCTTGTCCATATAAAGGCAGGGAACTGGGGTTGGGTGCCCTTATTTAATGCTTCTTGGATCTTCTGACATGGCTAGCTGCAGCTGCTGCGCTGAGCCTGAGAGACGCAGAGTCTGCCTTCTAATTCAGTCCTCTCTGCCTGTGGACTCGTGTTCTTTCCTTTTCATTCTCTGAAGAACTGCAGATTTATTTTCGAAACTAATTTAAACAATAATTAACCAGTGTTTTTCTTGTTTTTCCTTTTTCATTTGTGCGTAGTCATCCATGCTTATTATTATAATCTTTATTGCTTCAAAAGGAGGGTGCACAGATGAAGGGAAACAATTAGACTTGTGGGCTATCCTTTCTAGCTCGGCTCTCGTGTGCCAAAATTAAGATTATTCATTCATGAAATTAATTTGAAAAGAAGAAAAGAAAAAAAAAACCACGAATCTGGTAGGTTATAGGAATTGGATTATATATACTCGTGCAGTTAAGTTGCTAATGTAGTTTGCTAGCTCTGCTTTAGACATGTATAAGGTTAATGCATGCATATGGTTAAAGTCTATAGAAGTAGTTTGGCATGCATTCCAGAATGCCCGAGAGAGAGAGAGAGAGAGAGAGATCTTTAAGAAGAGCTCGACGTTCATGTGCAACAAAGATGCCTCGAAATTAATCACGTAATGTCATATAAAAAATTTTAAACACATAACAATACATAATATGACTTAAATACCGTCACATGACATTTTCGTTGTAAACAAGTTTCTCTCCTCAATTAGATTATGCATGCCACTTTCCATTCATTCTAAGTTTACTTTTTCTTCATTTTTCGAAGCATTAATATATGGATAATGATAGGGAGACTAAATTTGTAGATAAAATATTGTAAACTAAATGACATGAAAATTGATGATTGGATTATTACTTAAGCGTTATAAACGTGCTCATTCTATATGGCGACACATTATTTAGTCTACAAATATAGTTTCCCTAGCATCATCCTTGATATATTATTGAGTGCAATACAATTAAACATGCACCCACATGCGTAAAGAGGCAAACAGTGGTACATGTTTCTGGCTATATATAATACACTGCATACGTTTATAATATGTTCCTACAAATTAAGTAGATATGTCAGGACTCACAATTAGTAATCAGAATCCTTCAATATTAATGGACGTAAGTTGGTCATCATGATTCATGAGGATTGAGCTATAGTTTTAGCAGCAAATCCTAAGAATAGTGATCACAGGTTTGGCTCCAGGATTACGTGCTGTTGATTATATATCATTCCACATTGTACCCACATATATAAACATCACAGCATAGCATGTCAGCGCGGCATATATATACATAATACATAATACATATACATATGCATATATATGGCCATGGCCAACATCTCCAAGATTTCCTGTATATAATTAACCAAAATCAGCCAACAAATATGATTCTGCTTTGCTGTACACAAGCACGTATATATGATCTTAACGAGCATGTGATGCATTACGTAGGGGTAGGGCATTGGCATAAAGAGTACGCACAAGCTAATTGATCATCCGATCGAACTCAAGACGTGTTACTATATATCATCACATTGTACCACCTCTCTAATAAACGTAGAACCTTAGCTCTTATTAAACATGGTCTTTTGTATTAATTGGTTCTTGAAGAGATGTGGATATCATAGTTCGTACTCCTAGCCAATATCAAGCTAAAAAACACATCACCTTGACTGATTTACTTATGCAGATCAAGTTTAACATGTTTTCTCTCTCCCGGTTTTATAACTTACTTAATATATATATCCTAACACGGATGACAATGGCAACATTATATTAATATCAATCCCGCAGCTACTTGCTAGTAGCTAAACCATAGATTATCAACTAATAATTTGATACTTTTGGCATTGCATACTAAAAAGAACACATGAAGAATACATAATTAAATTCTTACTCATACGTTGCTTAGATATCCACCAAATTATGTGTGAAATCGGCGGATTTTCTCACTTTTCATCCCAAGTTATCAAGTTCTTTAGTAATGTATATCTCTGAAAGGAACTACATATTAAATGTGGATTATATGTAGTACGTAGTATGAGTATTAGTACACAGTAGTATATATATACATACCCATATATAGAAAAGACCATTCCACTCTTGGCCAACTTTTTTTAATTTATGTTCACTACTTCTTTCTATTCTTTCATGTCATTATCGGACAAACATACGCATGTCCAAGACTGGCAAAGGAGAAACCTTCTAAATCAACAATATATAACCTTACCACAACAACCACTGTAATTACATTACTATAGTTATTATTTGTTGATGATCTAATATATAAAATCCAGGTCTTTCATCAACAGAAAACTAAGAATATAGTAGACCTAATCGTACCAACACACACATTACATATACCCCATTAAATTGAGAAGTTCATGTTCTATATCTCTTTTTTTTTCCCCCTTACCATGACTTAATTAATAATCATTGCTCATGCATATGATCCCCAGCACTGAGACTATAATTATAATCTCATTGGATCTCTCTCTCTCTCTCTCTCTCTCTCTCTCTCTCTCTCTCACACACACACACACACACACACACATGTGTACGTGCAATATATACACGAATGCAATACTGTGGATATCTGACCTCACACATATATATCGATGGATTAATGTGTATAGGATAGAGTATAGTATTTAAGATTATAAGCACTCTAATGAATCACTAGTAAGCAAATGTCTACATATAACATTGCCATACTTACAAAGTTATTCAATATTAATTCTTGTCGCCTTCGCAGAGAGAGATGGAGGAAAGTAGTGCAGGAAATAAAACCAGAGGAGATAGACTTTTTCTAGCTATAACTTGTGCCGAAATAATCAATTGCTTTGCTCCTCCAGCCAACACATCTATGCATGTCACGGTTCATCAGTTTCCATCTCCCGTCTGTTGTGTAAATCGATGCATGATATAAATAGATAGATGTTCCAAGATCACGAGATCAACAACTAAGGTATACGAACTTACTTGCAATGAGGCTAATAAGTTATGGAACGTCTTTATTTGGTTGGCTTCCATTGTTATTTTGTGTGAATTCAAATGGAGCTGCTGCTTGGGATGAACCAATGATGGAAAGGATTTCAAGGATGAGCTAACTGAATGAAGAGGGAGGCATGAGAGCATTGTTAGCTAGGAAATTTTGTGAATTACTTGGTGAGCTCAAAAATTGGAAATGGTTGGCTTGTCGAGGCTGATCGGTAGCAGTACTAGTACCCTCCACTATTGGATTGGTAATATATGGAGGATATGAACCGAAAAGCATCGGTGTTGCTGTAGGTGGACGGAAGAATAATTGAGAAACAGATGGCATTGGAGTTGAAAATGATAAGGCATTAGTACTCATCATGTGACTATGATGCTGATCTAATTGTGGTACTTGTGGAAATCCATGGCTACCAAACTGCGCTAGAGATAGCGTTGAAGGCTCTGAATAGTTGTGATAGTAGTTGTATGCCATTGCATTATTTAGCATGCCAGGTATGGAAGAAGAGCCTATGGGAAATAGCTTTTGAGCTAAGAGTTGTCCAACATTTCCTTCGTGATCATGACGATTTTGATCATCTTGTCCGTCGTTTGTCTTGATCGACTTGCCTTTTGCTTGATCACGAACTTCTTGATGATCAACTTGGTCTGCCTCCATAAAAGTAGAATTTACATCAAAGAAAGGAGCAACAAGAGAATTACTAACTTGATGAGGATTTAGCATTGGTTGATGAAATTGATGACCAAATCCATGAGGAACTTGAAGTGGAGGGAGCTTATCGATATCTTGTTCCGTAATGTCAAGCAGCCAGTCTATTACCTTGCTAGGTTGGCTAAGACCAAGCCTATCTTGAAGATCATATAATTGAATGGCCGTTGGTACTGAAAGCCTAATTCTCCTGTCCCTCAATCCCCTCACTGTGGAAACCTTGCTGTGCCTATCTTTCCCACCGAAAGTACGCGAAACACGTACGATCCTTGGATTTCTAAATCCAGACCATTGCCTTGAAGTAGTAGTACTTGATGATGATGCCTTATGAAAACTACTATTGTTGCTCCCGTCATTGTTATTGTTGTTGTTGTGGCCCTCTTGCTTTGCTTGGAAACCCTTGTCCCTTGAATTTGTTATCATTGTAGTATTTCTGATTATAGTAATCTCGCCCTTCTTTCAATTGCTCCTTTTTTTGCGGAAATGGAAAGAAATTCTCCGATCGCTCAACTCCAAAGATCCAACTGAAAAAAACAAGAATAAAAATTAAAGGGGAAAAATAATAAACTGTTATATACTACATGAATTCATATGATTATTCTTAATTTCTTTTGGAATCCATATGAGTTTATATCTTATGGAAAATTGCTTCATGAACTAATTAAATTAATCACTGTTCAGTTCCCGATCAATAGATGAGGAAGAAAACATTTTCTCATCAAAGTTTCCAATACTAGTATTTATTTGCATCTATATATATATATGCTCCCTAATTATTAAGGAGATCCTCCATATGCAAATCTGAAAATTGTGCTGAGAAGTTGAGCAGATGTTGCATTAAAAAGAATGGTCACAAACTACTATAGAAGATAAATACACACACACACACACACATATATATATATATATATATATGATTAATGAGTTGAACCATTTTAATCTTCAAAGAAGTTAAAGAACTTATAAATTGTTTACAATTGAGAGTTAACAGGATGAGCAAAAGCTAGTAGAAAATCAGAGTTTGTAATGAGGTTTTTTCTTGATGTACTCTCACAAAAATCATACAAATTCAAACTACCGGAAACCCTAAGTTACCTTTACCTCTTATCAATCTATTTTGAAAGATATAATTAGGATCATAAGATGAACTGTACTCACATCAGACTGAAAACTGAGGTCGTAGAAGCTGAGATCAGATTTAGTTCTTGAATGTCGAAAACTTATTAACAAGAAACAGAAGAAGTAGGACAGACTAACAGGATGCAACAGTGGGATTTGAACCTCTTGCTAAATTATATATGATGCTCTCTCTTGAATTTCTTACTAAGCTGTGTACTTCATTTTCCTGTCAAATTCAACATCTTAGAGGCTCTTAGCTGCAGAGAGAGAGAGAGAGAGAGAGAGAGAGAGAGAGAGAGAGAGAGAGAGAGAGAGAGAGAGAGAATATAAACTTCTAAAAATAATAATCCACCATTTGGTAAAGAAAAGATGCTAACTAGATTTTACCACACCATATTGCATGGGAATGAAAAAGGAAAAGGTATGGCACATTTATGGCCACGTGGCATCTGAATACGCTAACACGTTAATTTAGACCAATCTTTTATGTATCTGAAATAGGACAACATAGCGTTATCATCATTCTACTCAAATGATGATATAATATAACACGTGAATTTGTTTTTACTAATGTCCTAAATATAGGACATATCAACTCCATTGTCCTCTCTTTTATAACACATAAATTTATACATTGCATAACTTGTGTTCACGATACCTATACTTTCTCGTCCATCTGTCAAGCCACAGTATAAAAATTTCAAGAATTTGTTCATACCACAGACTGAACAATCACTACTTAATTAATGAAAAAGTTTGGTCGTAGTTTACCGTATAATATTATGCAATAGGTTCTCTAGGTATAGATCTTCGATTATTTTGAAGGGGGACCATCTCACACTTATCAGCAACTACAAATAGCTTTATTGGTGTATTCCACATAGCATGAATTGAAGAAGGCATGCCTAGCTACCAGTTTAATCAAGAAAGCAGAAAAAAATTATCTATACATAAACCCTAATTAATGTTGGAGAGAATGTTTCTTCGATCTTTTTCCCCTACATGTAAATTTGTAGTGCAATATTCATATAAAAATCATATATATATATATATATATATAAACTAAATGGTACTATAAGTGATTTAGTTATATAAAACATATCAATATTACAAAAAGAATCTTGACAAATCAAAGGATGATAAAAAAGAAAAACGAATTGTAAACGATCTGATTTATTCTACAAACAAAAATAAAAAGCACTACAAAATTGTCAAAGTAACTACATAACTCGAAAAGTTTACATTTTACTAGACGTAATTCTTATAAAATTACAAGATGTGAATTTCAAAAACTTAAACCATGAAACAAACAAGAAAACTAAACTAAACCCTAGCAAAAGCAAGAAAGCAATCTTAATGTACTTATTCTACTAGAAACCCTAATAAAAATACCAAAATAACCTAACAAAATTACTGATAATAAACCAAATTTACTAACTTGCTAACATTTGCTTCACCAAAAACTATATTTGTAGTACTCATAGTTTAATATTTAGCAACAGTTTTAGTTTCTTCTTCATTTTGTGTGGAGCAAAATTTGAGATTAAGAAGGGGCATGCATATTTATAATTAGTAAGTCTGAATAGTTAGTAAGATACTAGAGTTTGCTATATCTATACACGTACATAACAGTAATCTTCAGTCATGCGGCTCCTAAAATTGTGGTCTGCAAGCTATCGTCTGTTTACAGTATACCAGTTGGGATATATATATATATATATATATATATATATATATATATATATATATATATATATATATATATATATAGCAGCATATATGTATGTACAATTTTGAGAGCAAGGATAGAAGGGTTAGACCTTCTAGAGAAGAGTAAAGGAGGGACCAAAGCACAGGTTCTTTAAGGCATCGATCCACTGAATGCATCGAGAGAGAGAGAGAGAGAGAGAGAGAGAGAGAGAGAGAGAGAGAGAGAGAGAGAGAGAGAGAGAAAGAGAGAGAAGGGACCTGGACCACTACATATCTACAGAATGCAATGAGATTTTCACAACCCCAAGTTGCACTAGTTTTCGCTAATATAATGTACATGAATGAAAAATAATATATACATAATTACATATATATTTACTCTTTGCATCTTTATTTCAAGTAGCAGTTTGATATATATATATATATATAGAGAGAGAGAGAGAGAGAGAGAGAGAGAGAGAGAGAGAGAGAGAGAGTTCTTCATATATACATGTGTGCATAAGGGCTCCTCAATAATCAAGACAAGTAGTGGAATCTTTCAACAAATGTGTGCATAAGAGGGCACCTCAATAATCAAGAAAAGTAGTGGAACCTTTCAGCAAAATAATTGAGAACGTACGCTAATATAGATCGAGTACTGTATTAGTTGCAGTTCAAAAGCCGAAGTCCTACTTTTTACAGAATTTCAAGACAAGAAATAAACCGGCCGACACTCTGACATCTGGCCAAGACAATTAATTTTACTTCTCCATAATAATAAGTAACAATTTGATCATCATTCCATTTGAACTAATTTTTAAGCAATATTTAACATAGCCTTATATGGTTTTAAACCCTCTGAAACTGATATACTTAAAATAAACATATGTTTTTGCAGAAACATAAACCCTAGCAAGCCTTCTCTAGCTCCTAATATATGTGTGTGTGCGCTATCAAAGGCTCCTGTCTCCTCAATACAAGAATAATGATAAGATCTACATAATATTATACTCAAAATTAGTATGCTTTTTATTGTTGGCATCAACCGAATTCTGGGGTAGCAGTTACGTAGGGATTTTACCAATTATAGAGATTGTAGTTGAACAATTTAAGTTAGTAAACCGAAAGCTATATTCAGAGTTCATCATACACACAGAGAGCAGAGAAGTTATCTGAATATCTGCCCTAAAGTAGCAGAAAAAAGAAGTTAGTTAAATAGGGAGTTAAAGATTTTTTTATCAAGTGTGTTTAAATTCAACATTGACATTGCTCCTCCAACCAAGACAGCGGTTTTACTTTGTTCAGGAACCCCTAAATTTCCTGATCACTTTTTGGGTAAAAATTATTTCCACACCTTGAGTTTGAAGTGTTTGTTTCTCCCAATTTAAAGCCAGAGAGAACCCCGGCCTGCTCTTACCATATTAATTTGTTTAAATATATATAATATGCAGGCAGCTGGAGATCTGAGCAGAGCGGCAAAAAGGAATGGACAAAGCCAGTGATACTTGATAAGAATCTAATTGCTTCTTCACAGTGATTAGAATAATAACGATTCGTCATCAGTCAAATGAAGATGAAAATGAAAACTGTTGATGCACAAAACCGGAGGGGTCTTGGAACAACGTAAATCCGACTGTGAATCTGCAGAAAGTAAAGAACACAAAATGTATCGTGGTTCACCCCAATGTTTGGGCTACGTCCACACTGATGTTAATATTGTTTCACTCTGAATGGTGAGTATACAAGAAGGCTAGAGGTAGTGTGCTCTCTAGCCTATTTTCTCTCTTCCTATGGCCTAAACCTTGCCCTCAATCTTGGCCTCTCCTAATGAGGAAAGTGAGGAGTCCTTTTATAAAATAAGGGCTCCTCACTTATTACATATTTGCCCATCCGGTTTTGTGCATCAACATTTGGCGCCGTCTGTGGGAATCGACACAAAAAGCTATGTCGGTTCTCTTTCAATTTTTCATCTCACCACCGTGAAACCTTCACAACCTCACTACTGTCCACCATGGATCTGCAAAACCCAAGAGACAACCAAAACTCTCACTGCCTCTCTCTTACTTCTGATCTCTTTCACCTTTTCAAACAAAACACCACAAACTCTCTCTCTCTCTCTCTAAAACTCACGGTGATAAAACACCACCACCCAAACAACTCTCAAACATTCATTGCCATCAGAAAAACTCTCTGAGTCTCTGTTTTTTCTTAGTTCTAGAGAGAGAGATGGTGGCAACCACCGGTGCGGTGCTCAACGGTTTGAACTCGGCAGCCTTCTTATGTGGGGGCAAGAGAAGTCAGGCCTTGCTCTCTGCTGCCATCGTTGGAAGCAAGGTTGGTGGTGCTTCTTCTACTCCTAAGAGGTTCATTGTGGTTGCTGCTGCGGCCAAGAAATCTTGGATCCCGGCGGGTAAAGACGGCGGTAACTTCATCGACCCCAAGTGGCTTGATGGCTCTTAGTGCTAAATTACGCCGGCGGTTGGTTGCGTCGGTTGCACCATCTTTCGACATTTACTGCTCCACCCTCGAGCCCGTCTCGGTTCCCAGACTCTCCCTCTTTGCTCACACGGACCGTACGACACCACTCAACAAGTTGACGTTCACACAGAGAAACTCTCAAGTGAAAGCAACGAAACCAGTCAGGTTAGATCTGAAGCTCTGAAGGCCACGATGGTGATGGTGGTGAACGAGCGACCACTGAAAAAGATGAAGAGGCGAATTACGGCGGATCTTAATAACTTCTTTATATTCCCGTTGGCGTCGCCCAACCACCGCGTGGGGCCCTTCAGGAGTAGCGTCATGGATTTCATCTCTAAGCATGTGTTGCTGCCTCTGCCCTTTTCCTTCTTCCCTCACCTCACGACGTGACAGATCCTCTTCAGGGCCGGGATGACGATCCATCATCATCCCCAGCCGACGCTGCCGTCGTCTGTCTCGACATCGTGGAGGAAGACGTCACCAGATCTAGATCCATCTATTGTGATCACTGCCGAGTCGTTGGTGCAAATCTTGCAATCTTAATGCAAGTACAAAAGATTTTGAAGACTGAGTGTATAACCAGTTAGAGAACACAACTCATCTTCTGCATGGAATGGTCCATTCAAATGGTTTTGGACACCTTCTTAGGGTCAATGGAAGGGAAGGTGGCTCGAGAGTTCTTTCAGGATGTCATATAATGGACTTTTGGGACTGGCTCTGTAAATTACTTGGAGTCAGAATGGTCAGTGTGATGGATGTGTCAAAGAAGTATGGTTTGGAATATCGACTGCTTCATTCAATTATCAAAGGGCATCCCTGGTATGGTGATTGGGGTTATGAGTTTGTTGCTGGTAGTTTTGCTCTGACTCGTGATGCCTATAAATTAGCTGTTAGTGCACCACTACACTACACCACTCAAGTGAGCTGCAGCAAGTGAGAAGTGCAGTGAACAGAGAGAAAGCAAAACCAAAAAGAGAAAAGAAATGAAATGGGAAATTATGCTCCAACATGTGAAAAACCATAAACAAAAAAGGGTGTCGACCACTGGAAAAAGATAACTTTATTATCTTTATTATCAGTGCATTAACATTTTGTCGACCACTGGAAGAAGATAACTTTATTATC